CCCCCCCCCCTCCGCCACAGGCCATGGCGTACCTGCACGCCCTGGGAATCATCCACCGCGACCTGAAGAGCGAAAATATCCTCCTCCACCCGGAGACCATGACCCCGAAGGTGTGCGATTTTGGCTTCGCCCGGGCCCTGGACCGCGCGGCGGCCGCCTCCACCGGGCGCCACGCCCGGCCGATGACCGTCTGCGGCACCGACTGGACCATGGCCCCGGAGGTCATCCTGTGCATGCCATATGACGAACGTGTGGATGTTTTCTCCTTCGGCATTGTCATTGCCGAGCTCTTCAGCCGCGTGAAGCCCGACGCCCGGAACTTCCGCCGCGTTATCCCCGGCTTCGGCCTGGACCCGGTGGAGGTGCGAGCAAGGCCCCCCCCTGGCTGTGCCTCCGACTTAACCGCCCCCCCCGCCCCCAACACCGTCCAGCTGCTAACCCTCCGGATTGCCACCCACACCATGCCCAGGTCCGCGCTCTGGTCCAGCCCTCCTGCCCGCCGGACGCGGTTGACTTGGTCCTCTCCTGTGCGGAGGACGACCCGGCCAAGCGCCCTCTCTTCCCGCGCATCATTTCCATGCTGAAGCCCATTGTGCCGGCCGGTGCGGCGGTGGATGCCGCCTTCCAGAAAGCGGCGGCTGCTGCGGCCGCCAGCTCGGCCGCGGCCGAGCCCCCGGCCGCGGCACCGCCACCCGCGCCCCCGGCAACCGGCAACGCCCGGGCCTCCCCCCAAGGGTCTCCCTTGTCAATTTGCATCGACACCATCTCCCCGGTCTCCGGGTCGGTCAGCTCCGACTTCCTGGCCACGCCGGTGGTCGCCGGGCGCTTCCCCCCGCCGGAGCTGATGCTGACGTCGCCATTGTCACTGCTGCAATTGGACTCGCCACACCAGCCGGTCACCCCGTCGCCGGTGGTTTCCCGCCCGCCCTCGCCGCCGCCCCTGGAGATCAGCGGCGCACGCCCGGTGGAGGTGGCCTCGCCGGCTCGGTCAACCCTGCCGATGGAGCTCCGGCCGCTGGTCGAGCGTGGCCAACTCCGGTCCAACATGTCCATCCGCTCGGAGCGCCTCGGCGGGCTGGTCCTTCACCGGCTCCTGGATCGCACCACCTCGGAGTTCATCTTCTACCTGCATAGCGATGAACTGCAGGCATATGCCGTGTCCTTGACCCTGCCACCGGGGAGCCACTTCACCTTCGAGACGCTGCCGCGCCTGTCTCCCGGCGAGTCGCCCGGGCCGGATCGCATGACCGACCCGGTGGCCCTGCGCGATGTCACCCTGTCCGATGACGGGTTCTCCGTCGGAGCCGTGATCCAGCCCGGCTCCGGGAGCTGGCTGGCGTCGATCCCCCTGCCGGCGGCCGGGCCGGCTGCCAAGCGCGTGCCGGATGTGCCGCTGTCCTTCAAGCGCCAGCCCACCGGGGCCACCGTCCGCCGGGAGACCCTCTCCGGGATTACCCTCGAAACTCGCGTGCAGGAGCTCCAGCCGCCGGCCACCCCGGGCGAGTCCTCCGATGCCCTGGACTCGGGTGACGCCTCCCGGCACCAGATCAGCTTCTTCGTGGAGAACTCCTACCCCTTCCCGATCGAGCTGCTGGTGGAGCTGCATGGCACGGTGTATGACAAGAATGGCCTGTCCTTGACGTCGGCCGGCGCGCTGGATGAGCGCCATGGCGCCGTGGCCCGGCATCAGCGGACGCTGAGCCAGCAGTCCACCGGGCCGGAGCCGATCTGCCTCTTGCGCCATGTGGTTCCCCCCGGGCCGCATGCGCCGTCGCTGGTGGGCCGCGCCACCACCGGGCCGGATGCCACGTTCACCTGGCGCTTCCGCCAGCTGGCCGTCTTGAACCCCAGCAGCCCGGGCGGCCCTCTTGGCCAGCAGCTGGATGCCGCCGCCGCCGCCGCCGCCGCCGCCGCCGCCGCCGGTGCCGGCAGCCCTCCATCCTCGACTGGCGTCACTGGGTCCACTGTCGCCGGCGGGGCTCCCACCGATCAGATCAGCTTCCTCAATGGTGTGCGCCTGGTCAAGGGATTTACCCCCTGCTCGGACCCCCAGGCCCCCATCCACGCGGCGGCCACCGATCCGGAGCTCTGGCTAGGCGATGCCGGGCTCCAGTCCCTGGGCCAGGCGTCTCCCGCGCGGCCGATCCCCGGGTATTATTCCCTCAGCGTCAGCAACACCCGTCGTCGACCGATTGTCGTGTTCATCGACCTCATGCTTCCGGAGGCGGCCATCTCCTCTGCCGGTATGTCGTTACACGCGCCGCCTGTGTGTCTCCGGCGTCTAGGCCACCTCTAACATCGTCTGTCATGCCCCCCCCTCCCCCCGCCCTCCCCCCCTCGCCCGTGCGCAGATGGCTCCACTGCCGGTCGGAGCGCTCGCCAGCCGCCGAAGCTTTCCTGCCACCGGGTGGTGGAGGCCGGCACCGAGGACCTGGTGGCCTTTTTCGTTTCGGGGATGGGCTACTCTGTCGAGTGGGGCTGGTCCTATGCCACCGATGGTGGGAGTCCGCAGTCCGGCTCTCCCTGAAGTATGGGATCCAGCGGATGGTTGCCTTGATCGCTTCCCCTCCGCCCCCCTATCACCCACTTTTGCCCTCCCCACTGAGGCCCCTAGACTCCGCCATGCGTCCATCCACATCTGCCTCATGTGCACGCGCCCTCTGCCTCGATCCCGCCTCTGCCTGCCGGACAAAGAAAAGGGGAGAAAGGAACTTGACACGCGTGTGCGGGAGTGCTGTGCACCCCCGTGGCAGAAGAGGAAGGAGCAGGGCGCCCGCCCATGTCCTTGCCAATCAACCTTTCTTGTTCATCCAATATATCCGACCCAAACGCCGCGCGCGTGTGTGTGTGTGTGTGTGTTGCTGCCTCATGTTGGTTTATTGGCTATTTTCGTTGCCCGGTGGGGGGAGGAGACGGCTGGGCGCACGAGCGCACACATATACACATACACACGCACACGCACACGCACACGCACACGCACACGCACATACATGGATAAAACATATATAAATATACACAAGTAGATACACATCACGGAGCGGGGGCGTGAGGCAGTCCTTTGACCGGTCGAGTGTTCTCCAGGGCAGATCGACTACCGGTGCGAGGAGGACGAGGACCGACGATGACGCTCGCGTGAGTCGCGGTCACGGTCACGATCGCGCTCGCGGTCACGATCGCGCTCGCGGTCGCGGGACTCGCGGGGCTCGCGGGACTCGCGATACCGCGACGAATCGCGCTCGTTTATCCGGTCACGGTCGCGTTCGCGGCGGCTATCACGATTGCCACCGCCTCGGTCATCACGGTTGCCACCGCCTCGGTCATCACGGCTGCCACCGCCTCGGTCATCACGGCTGCCACCGCCTCGGTCATCGCGGTTGCCACCACTCCGGTCATCACGATCGCGCGATCGATCACGATGATCGCGCGACTCGCGTCCCCCGCGCGAGGCGGAGTTCGCTTCACGCGATTGATGGCGGCCCCCGTCGCGCCTTCGTGAGAGCAAGAGCGAGAGAACCGTCCCCATTCATCCACCAAGGCAGGCACAGGATGTCAGTCAAAGTGAGGCCCAGAGGACGAGACAACATGGCAGCGGCGGCGACGGCGACGGCGGCGGCGAAGCAGATGACAGGGAAAAAGAAGGAGAAGAAGAAAGGAGGAGGAGGAAGAAAGACTGCGCACTCCAATAAATGGTCGCCAGGCGGATGACCCATGCCCAGAGGGGGGCCTTGCGAGCCGGGCCCCATATTAACGGGTGGCCCGGGGTTTAGGCCAGGTCCAAGATTTGGGAAGAGCAAGGGAAGGCTGAAGCCGGCGGCGGCAGCGGCAGCCGCCGCCGCCGCCGCTGGGTTGTTGACAACTGGCAAGCCGGGTCCGAGGGGGGGCACGCCAGGACCACCACCCGGATGCGGGGGAAGCATACCGCCCGGGAAGTTGGGCAGCATATGGGGGTGCCCAGCAGGCGGGGGGAACTGGTGGCCCATATGCGGGGGCATCATTTGCCCATGCTGGCCACCTTGATGGGGGTGACGCCCAGCTATTCCATGGGAGAGGTCAGTACATGGAAGGAGGGGTGCGCATGCGTGCGCGTGTATGCGTGTATGCGTGTGTGTGTGTGTGTGTGTGTGTGTGTGTCTGTGTGTGTGTGGGGGGGGGG